GATCCGTTTTAGCAGAGGACTTTAGAGAACTAATGGCTCAATGGTTAGACTTGATGATCTTGAAGGTCCCTTCCAACCTAAAGGATTCTATGATTCTATAAGTTCCTAGCATTGTGTTAAAGAAATAGCATGTTATGTACGTTGGGATGTCTGCAGATGATATGATTTTGTTTTAATGTTTACAGGTGTCAAACAGAGTACGAGAACAGAGATGAGGCTACCAAAGGGGATGAGGCTACTCGGAAACAATTTCATGCCTTTGTGCTCTTCTTAGCAGAACTTTATCTTAACCTAGAGGTAAGGAAAAAAAAAAGTGCAAGTCAAGTGTCTCGTTATTTGTTATACTTAGGTAAACACTGAAATGGAATATAATTTGAAGTGCTCTTGTAAAGGGAGAGGGGAGTAAAGTGAAAGAAATTTAGAACAGTTCTGTTGTGTCCAAGAAACAGAGAACCAAAAAAGGACAAGGTCATTAGAAGTGTATGAAAATGTCTTTCGAAAGTGTAAGAATTCATAAAAAGAAACAACCATAAACCATCTTTGGAGTGAACCTTTTGTTATGTTCTTTTGACTGGCAAAACCCCCAGAAGACTCCACCGAACCAATATCGGAAATGTTAAAACCTAGGAGAAACGGGTCAGGGTCAATAACCCATGTAATTCAGTATTCAGCCACTAAAAGGAGCTGTTATCAAAGCCTTGAGGAAGATGCGGGAATCCTTTAAATGAGCAATTCAGACCTTTGAAGACATTTCTTTTGAAGATTAAGTCCTTGCCTTATGCAGGAAGCATGAAAACCTGTATTTATATTGGTCTTTTGTATCTGTGCTATGTACAGAAAAAGTGTATGTATGCTTAAAACTTCTTTGACCCTTATACCTGTCATTTCAGTAGATTCACTGACTGCTGTGGTGTACTTAAAATATATTCTTGACTGGATTATTTCAATGGTCTGATTTAAGCAGACACTAAAAATGTTCTGCTGGCATGAGGAAAGAAAATAAATCTCAGACTTCCATTTCTGTTCATAAGTGGGCCTTGAAATCTTATTTTCACACACAAGGAGCAAAAGAAATATTTTTCAAAGGGTTTGCAGAAGTAGCAGTTGTCTGGTTGTTTGGAGTATGCCATTTATTTTAAAACCATTTCTTTTGTTGTTTTGTTGGGGTTTTTGATATATAAATAGTGCATTCCACAAGTAAGCCACTACAGTGGTAGCAAAGACGTAATGTAGTATTGGAAAGAGTATGAGGTTCTGGGAATTGGGGATTTTGTGAGCTGTTTGCCAGGCATTTGGCAGCTTTTCTTAGCGATTTATTAGCAAAGAAACAAAATGCTAACGTGCGTTGTTAAGTGTATGTCAGAATTGTAACAATATTATTCAATGTCTGTGTTATAAAATAGTTACACTATTTAGCACGTTCTTCCAACTAAAGAGCTATGCTGATCACAAAATAACATGGCATTCAAGAGAGAAGATGTGACTAAATTAATTTCTAAGACTTAAGTCTTTTAAAATGTTTTTTACAGATTAAAGGAGCAAAGGGACAGGTAACAAGAGCAGAAATTCTTCAAGAAGGCCTTCGGGAACTACTAAACGCACTCTTCTCTAATCCCGTGGACAGTAATTTGATATGTGCAGTGAAACTGTTGAAGGTGAGACCGTAGTTGTAAAATTTAAAAAAAATCAGGTTTTTTTACCTTCTTATCTTTTGGAGTAGTGGGGGAGACTGCAAATGACTAAGTGTTTATACAGTTTTATGCATTACATCATTAGCAGAGCAAGCTGAACTTTGTAATTTTTCCCAAGTACCCTTAGGAAGTTGAACCAACAAAAAAGGAACACAGTGCTCCAAAAGTAAAATGGGAGGCCATCTGTCTGCATACAAAAGCGAGGGATCTGAAGCCGAGGTGCAGAGGACTAAGCAGTCCCTTCAGGTCTCCTTTTGCTGCTTCTGGTGTGAGAGAAAACTGTAACTGACTTGAATGATTTGTGGGGTTTTGAGTATGTTCTCTGTTCTGAAGAACACTCAACGGTTAGGGTCTAACCACTGTTTGCAGCAAAAGGTTCTTGGTGTCAGTTATTTCACGCTGTATTGTCAGCATCATTACTGCTGCAGAAACATGATGAAAATAAGGTTCTTTGCTCTTCAGTTTTACTTTGTCTTTAAAAATATTTTAGGCTCTATGCAAAGAGAAACTTTTATCTTTTTATCTTCCTTAGCCATCATTATAGTCAGGGAAAACAGTTAATTTCAGTAACGAAGGTTAAAAGCTAAGCAGTATATTTGTGGAGTTTAGTTTTGGTTTGTTTTTTTTTTTTTTTTGGTGGATGATTAGTTTTGTTTTCATCGTTCTTCCCTCTTCCTCCCACTCCACTATTTTCAGACTCTTCTGTTTTGAATTACAATTCTGGTAGCTTCTTTTGATATGGTAAATAGGGAACAGATGTTTTACATCGTCCAATTTAAATCCTTCATTTTAAGTTTGGATCTTTAAACAGGTTGCTTCATAGCAAGTGTGAGGTTGTGTTCAATGAGTACGTTTATTCCTGTGGTCAGTCATTATGCTGGCAGTGCTTCCCTAAGGCTTCCTCCAGGTCCCCCTGCAGGACCTTTCAAAAAGGCGGTACACAAAACAGGAAGTTTTACAGTGCTGCTGGTCTTTATAGTGGTTGTCCAGAGAAGGTGGGGGTCTCACTGTTTTTGTGGATGTTATTGGAATATTTATTTGGCTTCACAACATCCATTCTAAAATAAAGACCATGTTATAAATTATTTTATGACATCTTGCTATATCTAAATCTAAAATGCATTACAGAACAAGAATTTTGAGTGTTTTTTTGAAAGCAAGTATTTTCTGGTGTCTTACAGTATCTCAAGTGTTGGAGTGTATCTGTAGCAAACTGGCTACAGATGAAAAACTGTATCTAGCTATATTATGAAACCTTGGTTTCACTACTGAAGCAATAAATGTCTCCTGTTGATTTTCTATGTAATATAGCAACAGATACAGGGTTTTCATCTGTTTGCTTTGCAATAGGTTTATTTTTTATTAAACCTTCTCGGTACTATTACCTAATTATCTAGGATCAAGCTAGGACTGCAGTAGAAAACTGGGAATACCAAACAACTGCTGACTGACATGCTTGCTTTTATCTTTGCCTTTTATTCCTTTGTATCATTGGGTGCTGTAACGCACACTTTGGATCATTGAATACTTGTACTGAGTAGACCAGAAATTGCTATGGATTTTTATAATAGTGGCAAACTGTTTTGGTTTTGTTCTGGGGTTTTTTTTGTTTTTTTTCCTGCTTTAACTCCTACTGTGCAATTACTGGGCAAAGAAGTACCTGTTCTTAACACAAAAGGCTTTTATGCCTAGCAGTTCTAGGCTGTCTACTGCTAAAGCTCTTTCAGCAGCTTCAGTCTCACAGATTTTATGTATTAAAATTCAGGCTAACTTGATCAAGTAATTCTTGGCTCCTCCTATAACGAAATGAAATTCTCTGGCATGTCTGGTACTAGTTAAGTTGACTAAAGTATTAATAAATTTTTTAAACAGTTTGTTATTCTTAGGTAAGCTGGTGGCACCATTACAAAATTAAGGTCTCCTTTTTTTATAGCTCATACTTAAATAAGATCTGACAAATGTCTCTGAAGAGTTGTTTCAAAATCATATTTCAAGACTGAAAGGAGAGAAGCAGCTGTGAAGGTCTAGGTAACAAAGATTGCCTTAGACCACTGTCTGTAGTCTAAAGTATTTACAAGGTCTATGAACCTATTTAGCAAAAAGATGTAGGCAGTTGGGAGCTTCAGCCCTCAGGTAGCTACACAATTCATCTAAATTCTAATATTAATTAGATAACATTTGTCTAATATTATGAATTGTTACAGAATCTTGTCTATTGGCAGTTTATTAAACTTTTGCAATTTTTTTGGTTTTTTTTTTTTAAATAAGCTCCAAACCACAACTAATCCCTTGTCTTTAGTTGACAGGCTCAGTTTTAGAAGATGCCTGGAAAGAAAAAGGAAAGAATGATATGGAAGAAATTATTCTTGGAATTGAAAATGTTGTGTTGGATGCAAACTGTAGCAGGTGAGAAGATAAATTTATGTGCAGCATTCTGTTTTTATTTTAAACAGACACCTTAAAAATCTCAAGAACAATGAACATGTACAAAACATGATCTTAAGAATGTCTGTTTATAAAAAGTGAGGTGGTGTTTGTGTCACTTCGTGGATTTTTTTTAAAAATATTTTTGCGTTGAGGTGGTTTGGGATGTTTTTTTCATTTTCCTATTTTATATCTCATTAGAGATGCATGTTCTGTTCCAGCAATTTTGATTTTTATTTATAATCTTACAGGTCTTGAAGTCTTCCATAAGTACTTTAGGCTCTAAGAGCAAATACATACACCAAGAGACAATAGTGGCGGTATCTCATATTTTATGCTTTTTAAATTTGAATTTAACAGTATTAAATACATAGAAACAGTATTAAATAGATACAAATCACTGTAAGTGTAAAAGCAAAATGGAATATGTTTTGTGGCAGTTTATTTCTGGTGAGCATGCCTTTTTGGCAGGGCCTTAATTGCAATCTGGAAAAAAATGAGTGGTTGGCTAATGTATTCCGCTTCCCTATTTGCAATCACATGTGTGCATGGTGATGTGATTCCAATGCACTTCATCGGCAGCTTCTTGCAGACTTACTGAAAACCTGCAGCAGGCTCGGACACCGTGCCTGATTTTGTGCCATATGTGGGAGGCCAACAGGTGGCTCATAGCGTGGGTTGGTTGTAATTGAGCTGCATCCAGCAGGATGATGTGGAAAATTTTGCTTCACAAGCCAAGGCTTCGAAGACACAGAAGCACAAACTTACTTGGATAGAGAAAACAACTGAAGTTGTTACTTAGTTAGTAAGTCAGTAGTTAATTACTCCCTAATGAGACTCCTCTTCATGGACTTGCTTAAAAGAGGAAAGCAATTTCTCTCATTTTAGAGATTAAATTGGTGGTGGCATCTAATGTACTGGAGACATCACTTCCCATTTTTGACTGCAAAATTTCAGTGTATTTAAGAGGTCTAAAGTTAGAAGCATATATCAGATGATGAAAATACAATTTGAAGATTGTCCCACTTTTTCCAAGTACTGTCCTTTTACCAGAAAAAGTTGTGTTCCTTGATTTGTGCAGCACATCTAGTATCTCGATAAAAACTATAGTAATTTCTGTCTCTTGTGGAATCCTTACTTCACCACAGATGAAGTAAAGAGAGCAAGTATCTTGTAACTGGCACATAAAGCATCTAGGCTTGCAGGGAAAAAAAATGACTCAATTATCTGCAGACTGGACCAAATTTTGTCCCTTTCAGAGCTTTTCCAGGTGGGGATTTTACTGTCTGGTATTTGCAAGATAAGAGGAGCCCAATTTCTTGCTTAGCACAAAACACACTAACTTTCATAGTGCTTCTCTTCATTTCAGGGATGTGAAACACATGCTTCTGAAACTAGTAGAACTGCGATCAAGTAACTGGGGTAGAGTTCATGGAAATTCCTCATATGCAGAGGCTACCCCTGAAAATGACCCAAACTATTTTATGGTAAGAATGTATGGACACTTTATTTCCTTAATTTAATGTGAACTTGATACACAGATAATTGCGTTGCTGAAAACTGCAAACAGCTCTCTCTCTGAATGTATATAAGTTTCTGTTTGCCTTTGTTTGTAGAATGAGCCAACATTTTACACTTCTGATGGCATTCCTTTTACTGCAGCAGATCCAGGTATGGCTCAAGCTTAGTACACTTCTCAGTCTTCTTTAAAAAAGTTGTAATTTAGTTTGTGTCCTCATGAAGTACATAAAGTTCTTCTTTAAATATCTGAAACTTGTAATTTTCTTTTCAGTAGTATGCCTGAATTTCTGGGTTTGTGCAACACATCGCTTAGTCTGCGTTAAAAGAAGGGAAATATTTGAAATGGCAAATGTGTATTTAAGTCATATAGTTCAGAAGAATTTGTACCGTAGTCCTCACCACTTGGTCTCTTCAGGAAGCCAGAAATTTTCAAGTCTGATTTTGTTTGTCTCTTGTTAGTAGCAAAAAGGTTTATTTCTTCCTTGGTTTCTTTGTTTTCTGTAATCTGAGCACAATGTGGTATGACATCAACTGAGGTAAAGACATCTGTGACTACCTTTTACAGTTCTCTGGGAGGACAAGTGTCATTCTTGGAGGTTGCTTGATGTCCTGAGAAAACAGTGTAGCAGGTGTTTTGGGGTTTTTTGTGTTTCATTAAGTAGGCTGTATAGATGTATGTTAATTTAGAGGACTAGTCTTCTATATTACTTGGTCTTATTTTAACTTTGCCAGATTACCAAGAAAAATACCAAGAGCTCCTTGAAAGAGAGGATTTGTTTCCAGATCATGAAGAAGATGAAACAGATCTATCAGGAGCTGGATATCTGTACGTTTTCTCTTTGAGTGTTTTGTTTGATGTTTTTTTAATACTAGTTATTTTCACTGTAGATTTAGGAATCCAGTCTTGACAAAAATGAAACTAATTATTATTTAGCTCTACAGTGGCAGTTAGGTATTTGTTTGGGTGTAAGTTGGCTTGTAATTACACAAGTTTGAAACAATTTTTTTTTTATTTAGCCAACTGGGTAGTGCAGTCAAATTTCAGATATTTATGTACATGTACAAGCATACTCTGTTCTGTGTTTAAAAAAAAAAATAAATTTGCAAACAAATTTGACCACCAGACCTCCAAGTGTGGGTAGTGAGGCAGCCTGAATTCGACTGATGTGCATACTCATCCCAGCTAACAAACTTTTCAGTCTTTTGGAGGGGGGAAGTTAAGTTTCTCTCCTCAGGATAAGTAGTGTTTCCTCATTTAAATGGGTATTCACTATCCTGTAGAACAAGAAAAGCAACTTAATGGCAAAAGGGAAAGCAATGGATGCGAATGTAGTCTGACTTTCTGACACCAGTTTATAAGAATTTAATAGGAAACCAGTAAAAGAAATATCAGCTAAAATAAATTCCTCTGAACTTTGTACTAACTTGGTTAAAGGAACACTTCCAGATGCTGATTTAATACCAAGAACATTTTCAGTGTTGTGTTTGTGTGGTAAAAGTGCTGCTGGTCTGGATCAATATTTTTGTTGGTAAATTAGAAAACTTCTAGATTGCCTGTGGCTCAGGGGAGTGGCAAGAACTTTGGGCGATAAATTAGAGACAGCATCAGAAATTAACAAGCTCATACTAAGCAGAAGAAAAATGACCCATGTGACTCTCTGTGCTTAGAAGAAGAAATTATATGCAAAATGGAGACAGGCAGCAATTAAACACAGCAAATCCAAAGAGTGAGGTGGAAGACCAAGTCAACCTTCATGTAAGGTGACTGTGGAACCTTCTTTATTGAAGGCTTAAGAAAAGCTTAGACAAACATATGCTGACTGACATGAAGGAGGAGAGTTCTGTGTTGGAGTCCCTTCTCAAGTCTACACTTCTACAAGAAAGAAGGAACAAATAAACACATGGTCTGCTTCTTCAATGTGCAGTGCTGAATAACAAATATTTAGCCTACACATTTCTGTGGTATTTACTGTGGCTTTGTGTGAAGCATACCATTTATGTCCCTTGTTTGGAACTAAGGCACAATAAGTAACAAGCTGAGCGCCTGAAGTGAATTGCGCACTTCTTGAGAGTCAGTAGCTGCTGACTGTTTGGGTTTTTTTTTAAGGCTGTTTAGAATTAGATACATGATCATGTTTAAACTACCACCCCATTGTCCTAGCTTATGTTGATGAACACTCCAGTGGACCTAGAGAAAGCAAAGAACACTCATGTTACTTCATGTTACAGGTTACAATACCTATGGGGAAAAAGAGAGCTGAAGTGATGCCTGTCACTTCCCAGCTTTATTTTGAATCTGTTAGTCTCCACTCTGCAATGCTTACTGTCTTTAATGGGATCCAGTCTTCTCTGTGACCTAAATAAGACAGACCTTTTCTGAAAAACTCATTACTGTATGAGAGAAGGTAATGTAATGCAGATGCAGTAAGGAAGTGAATTAAGGTTGCCTTCTTTCATATAGCAGCAAATAGGAACACGTTTTCTATGTGTTCTTTGATTACTGTGCAACCAAGACAGTTGATGCAGTATTTGAACTAGTATTTTCACCAACCAAAAATTACACTAATATGATGCTAATTATGGGTTTTGCAAATAGATCAATACAGATGCATTATTACATTTTGCAAAGCTTGGATTGCGTTATTGCTCTTTCCATCAACTCAAGAACTATTTCTGGGTCTTAAACTGTAGACAGCATAAGATGATCTAAAATGATGGCTAGTACTAGCTATTTGTACATATGTATGCTGCTTTGAGGTTTTTGTTTATTTGCTTTCTTAATACTCATGGGGTTTTTTTCCTCTTCTTCCCCTTTTAAGAAAGTGTCCTAGTTAACTGCTGTTTATAAAGTTCTGGTTTATTCTTGACATCTGTATAATTGTTTCTGAAAATCTGTGTGTGAACTTAACATCTTTGGTTGTCTGGGTTTTTTTTTTAGGTATTTTGATGACATAGATGATGAAATGGATCCAGAAATTGAAGAAGCATTTGAAAAATTCTGTTTAGAATCAGAACGTAAGAAAAAACAATGAGATGTCACACGCTAATGTTAGTTTTCTAAGCCAGTTTAGGTATGGTTAGAATACAGGGGAACACAAAACATTTATACCAAAATAAGGCACTTGAATTTCTCCAAGTAGTAAAGTTACACAGTTCCGATTCAGTTAACAGTCTGCCAAAAATTGTAAACTTATGCCCTGTAACTTAAAATGTTGTGTATATATAATAGTTTATCTTATGTACAGGCATATGAGCAATGTTTTGGCTGCAATAAAAATATCAGATTATCATAACTGAAATGAAAATTTCATGGGGAACTGTCCCATAAAATTTCCCTTGAGGGAGAAATGGGAAGAACAATTTGATCTAAATTTAATTGCCTGCTTGCTAGGTTTACTATACATGGGGATTAACTCATTCTTTTTACTATACACAAAATACCTAAGTTTTTGTGTTCTGTTTTGGGGTTTTTTTTTGTGCTAAGGGCAGTAAGATCCAAATACAGAATACACTTGTTTGTTTTTTTTTCTGTAGATTACAATCATGAGAAGTGGTTTGTGAAGGTTTTGGGTTGCATGGGGATCTCGTTCTCTTTATTTCCTTTTTATTCCTCTTCCAAAACACATAGGTGAGGTCTGAATCTTTTTTCAGGAATAAACAAGTTACATGTTGGTATATGAAAAAGCAAGCAGTATTTTGGAAGTCAGGTGCTTTCAGGATCTTCAGATAAGCTTATTTTCAACTTCTACAATCAAAAACTATCTTTTGTAGTGGTTTTCAAGACTATATGAGTATAGTTATGTTTCTGAGTTTTCTCAAGTGCAGTGTTCAATTTATTTTGTTTGCTTTAATGTATCTAACATGTCTAACCTTCTGCAACCCTTGTAACTTTCTCTGTTCTAACTTTGTGTAGCTTGATTTAATTTTGTAGTTTGAGTAAATTCATATGTTTCATAAATGTTAACATTCTGAAGCCAGCTGCTCTTTTTTTTGACCCCATATAATCATGTTATTTTTCCTGGGATACTCTATGGTGGTTGTTGCCAAACTCAGTTGTACTGTTTCCTGTTACCTTCTGTGGCTAGACTGACTGAACCCCTTACCAAAAAATGGAAATATTTCCCAAAAGTTAGCTACTCTAAAGAACACATGTAAATATGCATGTAAATAATTCTGTTAATATTTCATTGTCAATTGTTTGATAAAAGAACTTGTGCATCTGCTAATAAGAGTGAGCACTGACTGTTTTCTGGATGTTTACTTAACATACCTATTTAGGTTGGAGTTTTGGAAAATAAAATCTAACTAGCTTTGTAACCAGGCTTGCTAGAGTGGAGCCTGGAAGCAGTATGCCAGCACCTGTGGGACAGTGTGGTAGCAGAGTCTTAGTCTGCTGTCTCAGAGGAGATGGGGGATGAGGATCCCTGCAGTCGCAAAGATACAAGGGCAGGTAGACAGGTGACTACGGACACAGGTGAAAATAGTCTGGAGGGAGTTAGGGCTTTTCCCTTCAGAAAGGTGACA